CTTAATTAAAGCAATTAATAGCTTTGGGATTCTCTGTACACTTTGTCCAAAAACATTCATGCACGACCTTCATGTGCACACTACTGCTGGTCAGTGTCTCTCCTGTGCCTGTCATGCGTTTGTTTTGTTGTTGTCACGTTTCTTTTTGCAGGACTAGTTGGCAACATTGGTCACGATAAGTCCACATAGGCAAATCCTGCTTTGTCAAATTACCATGCCTTTTTTTTAAACTTCTTTTTTAAGAAAATGGATTGTATATCCAGAATCTGACCACCTTCATGACAACGATGGTCATGACCCTAGCCCAAGCTACCATCATCTCTCACCTGGATTACTGTACTACCTCTAGTAGTTGGTCTTCCATCTTCTACCTCGGCCCCCTACAGTCTATGCTCAACACATCATGCTCCTTCAAACAGGACAGTCTGCATGAGGCTTTCTTAATGTTCCCCACTGGCAGCTGTCACATGAATTGTTCGACCTCTTGGGATAAGATGTAAGTGTATCCACAAATCCTTCCAGAGATTGTTCTTCTGCATTGACTCTTCAGGTCTGCTGCTTTCCAAACTGTTTGGTCATAGAAGAAGGTAGAGGATTGTCAGAAATGGCTGATAGAAACTTCCCTAACCAGGAAAGGAAAATGTCATGTCACCAGTATAGACAAAAAATAAAACACCCACTTTCACTTTTATAATGTGACTTTCTGTCTCAGGTGGGGGTGAGTCACCAGAAGACCGCTGTACTTTGCTAGCTTCTGTGCAAGTAGCTTCTGACCTTTCCTGAGTGTCTGGTGGAGACAGGTTGGTTCTGGGTAAGCGTGAGTAGGTTTATTTTAGCTTTATTGTGGTGTGTTGCTTCAGTGGACTAAGAAAACAAATGTTCTTGCTTCATTCTTAGAATAACTTCCAAACTAGTGCTAAAATAAAATATCTAGTTTTCTTTGCAATTTTGTTTAAAAGGGGAGAAAGCAGACCCTCTTCCCATATAAAAGGCTCATCTAAAGTATACCTAAAACTACAGGAAACTGTCCACAAACAGGCCTTCGATTTCAAACGAGTTCCCTTCCTAAATCTGACTTTAAGTCTAATTTGTACGTAATCAGAACAGTTAGGTGTGGTTAGTATCTAACATCAGTCATATGTTTTTCTTAGTATATAGCATATAGTATACCTGTTTATGCATAAAGGAATAAAGAAATACTTCCAGATACACTAAAACATCTTTAACATAATACAGTGGTAATAACAACAATGTTCTGATGTGTGTTGCAACGTAGTCCCTGTTTGGTATCACGAACCATTGCATGTACCTTGAATTGTTAATATAATAGGCTTGAGGGGGAGGGGTTCTTAACTATGGGATGTACGCATTGTAATCCGGGGACTGCCTTACTCTTTCGCACAGCTTATTATAAAGACCTTAGCGACTCTATAAACAGTCTATAAACAGAAAATTTTCCTCACTGGAGCCCACTGTTGTCGAATCTATTCTGACTCATAGCAACCCTACAGGACAGAATAGAAATGCCCCTATAGGGTTCCCAAGGCTGTAAATCTCTACAGAAGCAGACTGCCTCGTCTTTCTCTCAGGGAACAACTGGTGAGTTCAAATCCCCCACCTTTCAGTTAGCAGCTTAGCTCTTTAACCATTGCACCACCAAGGCTCCTTCTTCTCTGGAGCAAGGTAGCTTTATTTGTTATTAGAAAATCCATTTCAAATGGCAGGTAGTTGAGAACCAAACAGGAAGTTGAGTTCCTCGAATGCCTACTTTTGTAAAGAAGATGATCTGTCACGAATCTTTAGGGCTGTTAATTGGAACAGAATATCTCCAGCCTTGTCTTATCTGTGATGCATTCTGTCTGTGCGCTCTGGGGTGCCTGCTGGCCCACAGTCTTGTTCACGGGGAATCTCTTCAGCAGGACTGCCCTGGGTTGACGGCTGTTGGCTGGGTCCCCGTGTACTCTTAGGGCAAGGACTGTTGTGTTAAAACCACCTGCCATCTGTTGGTGAACATTTTTTGGATCCTGAATGATGAATCACTTCTTTCTCCTGCTGTTCCTTCTGCTGCCAGGACCGATTTACCTATTGGACTTTATCAGGAATATATACTGAAATAACTTGTCATGAAGCTTGGTCCTGTGCAAACTGCATGTCCCTAATGAGCAATCTTCCTAGTGCCATCAATGAAACGGGGTGGGCAAGAGTTTCCCTTGTATTTCCACAAGGTGGGGAGGAGACAGGGTCTTGATGTAGCTGATCCTCACTCTGGGGTCCTGCACAGATAAAGCTACAGCCATTGACTTCAATAGGCTTGGAGTTAAGGGTCCAGTGGTGCTTCCCCATTTTTTGACCAACTCTCTCTGTGGCTAGCAACTTGCTAAGATACCCACGCTTGTCGCCAAATGTGGCACAGAGCAAGCCCCCAATAACTGCTAGTCCAATGAATGACTAAGGTCTGTGACCACAAAATGGGGCAAGGCTGACTTACCCAGGGCTACCAAGAGTAGTGTGCTGGGACCAGAGTTTCTAACCAACAATGTCACTTATAAAGTCACCAAGGAATCTGAAATTCTGGTACAGTCTTCTCTTGCTGATCTCAACACTGGAGTATTTAGAATGGCTTTTAGGAAAAAATCTGGGGACTCCATATAGGTAAGCTTGGTACTATGAATGTAAGCTGAAAGCAAGCATTATATGGGCTTCTGTGGTCAGCTTCTGAAGAGCCTGGGAAGGAGAACTTGGTTCTAAGGGTGCAGCCAAGTGCTTTCCCAGTGAGAAAAGTGAAAATGACATTAACAAACCCCTCTGTCCTCCAGCGTGGTGCCCCAAGCCTTAGGCTAAAATACACAATGCACTTCTCTACTGACTTAGTTCACACAAATCAGATTTTATTGTTAAGCATCATCACCTTTTGTCCAAAAAAGGAAAAAAAAAATAGTTTAAGATGGCGCAAATCTAGCTTTATTTCCATACCCTAAAATATCATTTCTATGCCCCATGCCTTCCATTTTGTCTTTTCAACACCCCACAATGTTAAGCTAAATAGCAGCAGCAGCAAACCCCTAGGTGCAGAAAGTTCTAACTCCTTCAAGCCTGCTCCATTTCACTGAAGTTTTTTGAAGCTTTCCTGCCTGGAGAAAATACCAAGTCTCAGGTGGGTGGGATTTTATTCTTACCACAGAGTGGGTGTCATTTTATGGCTCTTCCCCCAGCCTCCTAGATCAGAGGCAGAGCTATGTGCTCAAGTCCTAGGTGGGAGGCAAAATTGCTGTACTGTTTAGTCCCAGGCTTAAGGCACCAGCCTGCCACCAGCCCCTTCTGCCAGGGGCAGTAATTGGGAAACGGGTGGCCGGTTGAGTGGGCCTGCCTGAGGCACCACAAACCGTAGGTGAGTTTTCCAGTCAAAAGAATGACTGGCCAAACCAGGATGGTAATGCGAAAACTCTGCTAAGCCTTCAGAAAGAACCTATCCAAGAGTGATTTGGGTGGTGTGGGATATGGGAAGGAGAGGGTGATCCTTCTTCAGAGGAAACAGTGCTGGTAATCTCCATTGCTAGAAGTATCAACTGGCCGAAAGTAACATTTCCAAGCAGGTTGCTTATCTGTACACATGAAGGACTTATTGCTGAGGTAGCAACATTTCTGTTTCTAGGAGTCCTGTTCCTGCCTTCTCTGTGTACCTAGAAAGTGGTGGGAACATGTTGATACTCAGGGCTTTGTGACGGCTGTGCTCTGGGGAACAAGGCACTCAGAATGTCTGAATGTTCCCTACTCCGAATGGTGATTTGGCCTTAAAGAGAACACAAAGGAGTTGTGGGAGTCTTGCTGAACCTCCAATATAAGAGAATTTTGGCAAACTATTCACATTCACCATTTCAGAGTTGGGAAAACAAGACTTCATGGTCTTCAAAGCAGCTACAGGATACAGTGGTCACTTCATGCCAATCAGCCAGATGCCTGGGCTTGCAGCACAAGCCCAGCAAAGTCACACTAGGCCAAGGCACCTTCCTTCTCCCGAGATCACTCAAGAGAACAAGGGACACTGCTGTTCCTGCTCCAAAGGAGCCTCCATGTGTGCAGTGGGTGAGACACCAGACCTGGGAGGTAAAGGAATTGATCCACACCACAGGCGAGCCAACGAGACCTTAAGTCAACTGGGAACAGATCGTGGGCTTGTACGTGTTAAAAACAAAAGTTTCCATTACTTACAAAAGCAAAGGGAATCAGATAACACTGTATCTCCTCAGTTTGGGAAGAATTTTGCACACACAGAGCAGCTACTGATAGTTATAAACCCAGCAAGTCTCTATTAAAAAGTAGCTACTGGCTAATCCATGCTTGTGGAAGTACTTTATTTTCCAGCTTTGGGACTATTTTAGAAATTCTAACATATTGGGGGAATTGTATTAGCGAAAGACCTGATGCACCCTAACATAGTGTCCCCAAGGAGCCCTAATCACCTGAGCCCAACAAAGAGAGTTGCTTTCAAAGACAGGGTCAACTGCCTGTTTCTTTAAGGTACCTGCAAAAAATAAAACAAATGCCAGTTAGACATTTCCTGAATGCTGGTTATATTTACTGGACTTGAATCTTTTCTGGAAGTTTTAATCCTGTATCAAATACAGAAAGGCAAACCATTGGCTTCAAGAGTAAAAATTCATTGTAAAGGCAAGCAGATGCTCCCAAAAGGACCATCACTTTAGAAGAAACCAAAACTCTGGAAAGGAGAAGGCCTAGTAACAGCTGGTTCAGAAATGGCCTTGGTAGCCTGCCAGCTCCCCAGTGGCAGACAGAATCTAACTGCAAGGGAAACTTCCTAACACACTCAGTATGTGTGCAGATCTCATTGCTTCAAAGGGGATGGCATGAAGACGAGAGTCCCAAGACTCACAGCTGCACCAGGTTCACATGGCACTTGGAACTAAGCTGCCTAGGAGGCCATAGCACCCAAGCATGCTCCTTGCTCAGACACCCAGGACCCCAGCTGGGTGGCTGTGGATTCAGGGCCACCCCTGCCTGTCTTCCTGTGAGATGCTCAGCACTGACTTGTGGAGGATTCTGCACTCTTGCAGAGATTTGGTGAGGTCAGAGAAACTTCTCCTGGGAACCTCCATTGTTTCGACCCTGCAGCATGGGTAGGTGGTCTTGTTCTTCTGCTCAGCCACGGCAACCACGGTTTGTAAGTCATCCGTTGGCCGGAAATGGCGCACAAACCTTTGACCAGATGGTGATCTGACAGCAAGCAGCAACCTTGGCTCTTGGTCTGATGGTTCCTCTAAGTTTCCAGCCCTGGAGGAGTCCCACCTCTTGGTTTGGGTGATGACTTTCTCCTCTGGGGGACAAGCTCGAGATTTGCAATCTTCTTTGTTTGTCTTCAGAGTGCAGGTCTCCTCTTGATAATGAGCCTTGATGCTACTCAGTTGCAGTGAGCTGGCCTTTTTGGCTCCTGTTTCCCCAGTCCTCTTCTCCAGGTTCTTCCTGTTGATGGAAGGAAGGACTGGGTATTTATTGAGAGATGAGGAAGCCCCGATAGACACCTGCTGCAGCAGCTCGGGGATCTCACCAGGAGCTCCCTGACTCAGAGATTTGGGTGTACAGGCCCCTGGTTTCCGGCTGCTTGATGACTCGCAGGGAATGTCTAGAGGTGGAGAAGGTATGCGGTTGGGGCACACCTCAGTGTCCTGGGATATGTGCAGGCTTGGCCGTGTTCGTCCCTTGGCAGACTTGGGCCTTACGACATGCATGTTTAGTGGTTTGGGCCGCCAGATGAAGGTGTCAGCCGCCGTGCTGACAGCACTGCTGCATTCAGGTGGTGTGAGGTTCACAGGGGCTTCTGTGGCCATTGCTTCTCAAGACCCCTGAGGAAGCAGGAAGAAACAGAGGAGGCCAGAAGTTAAACTTCCTGGGGCTTCTGTTAAACTTCCAAGCTATTCACTTCCTAAGTGCCCAGCATAAGTTACCAGTTACTGCTTTTGCTGAAGAGTAACAGTAACCCTGCTAAGTTACCAAAAACAAACAGGGCTCAGCTTCCCTGGAGAGCTGAAAGGAGTGGATGGACTAACTCCTGCTGAGAGAGCTTCCTCCACAATGGACAAGCAGTCTTCTCTGTTCCCTTACTCTCTGTGGAAGAGCCACCTCCCCGAACCACTTTCACTTTCTCCCTCAGTTCCGACTCATTACTGTTTCCCATGTACCCCTAGTTTGCCCTGACTTCACTATACTTCAGCCTTGCTATGTGGCTCTGCCCAGGTCACTTAGTGTACTAACCCTCCATGGCCCCAACTTTGCCATCCTGCTTGAGGACCGACACTTAGATGTTTACATTTATGTCTTCCCAACTACCTTGTGAATACCCCAGGGACCTCTGTATTTGGATCCTCTCATAAGGGATGCTCAGGCATTCATGGGTGGCACAAACGGTTTAACACGTTTGGCTGCTAAACAAAAGGCTGGAGGTTCAAATTCACCCAGAGGCACCTTGGAAGAAAGTTCTGGTAATCTACTTCTGACAAAATAGCCACTGAAAACCTACGGAGAACCCTTGCAGTCCAGCACACATGAGGTCACCATGAGTGGGAACTGACTCAGGGCAACTGCTGTTGTTGTTTTTAATAGGGAGAGATCAGAAGTGCTAGTTAAATCAAACAGACTCAAGTGTATTGAAGCACAGTGAGAGACATGAGCATTTGTGCAGGCCAGGGACTGATAAATCCATAACCTCTTCTTTCATCACTATATTGGTGGCTGCTTCACTAATATCCTAATCACCACCACCTTCACTCTATCCCTAGTTACATCCTTCTCAGGACACTGCCAAAGGCTTGGTGAGCTCCCTGCCTCCTCTCTGCATCCTGACCACTAAAAGTCCTGCCTCCTCTGCCCACATGCTGACCAGGCCTCTCTCAGACTTCTAAAGACCTTCTGGTGGCTTCCAGATTCATGGTCCCTAGGAAGCAGGATGACTGGGTGGCAAAGAACATAAGAGTATGTGGCACGAGTGTTGGGTTCTGTTTTTGGCTCTGTTACTAGCTAGTTGTATGGCCATGGAACCGTCACTCCACCTTTCTGGTACACACGTTTCCTCAACTATGGAATTAGCTATGTGACCTTGGAGACATGACTTAGATATGTCTGGTCACCAGTCTATGTGTGAAATGAGGACAGTGCTAGAGGAGATGGAGCTAAGGCAGTAAGTAAGCCCCAGGGCTCAGCACAGACTCGAGGCTTAATTAAACATTACCTTTTTTTTTAGTCTTTTCTATTATCCTAGGTCCACACACTTTACTTGTTGTTTCAGTGCTTCTTCCGGGGAGTCCTTGGTAGTTCTGCTCCCAGTCAATTCTAACCACCGGGGGAATCGTGCTATGCCCTTGCCCTGCCCACTGCACAGAAATTCCATGAGGTTGATTTCAATGAGCTACTGCTAGGAAATTGTCTCAAAAATGCTAAATAAATGCTTGAGTTTATTATGACTTCCCTTCTGATTCTGCACTTTCCTCTTATAATCCAAAACCAAACCCACTGCCCTCGAGTCCACTCAGACTCATAGTGGCCACAAAGGACAGAGTAGAACTGCCCGAACTGCCCCAAAGGGTTTCTAAGGCTGTCAATCTTTATGGAAGCAGACTGCCATATCTTTCTCCCAAGGAGCAGCTGGTGGGTTCAAACCACTGGCCTCTCAGTTAGCAGCCGAGTGCTTAACAGGTTTTCTTTCTCATGTTATTTACCTCAAATTCATATACTCTGAGCTACCTTCATCACAATCCTGAACAATGGGATTCAAGTATCTTATGCTTTCCACATTAGCGTTACCATTAATAAATAAATAAATAAATAAATAAATAAATAAATAATAATACTGTCAAGTCAACTCATAGCAACCCCTCCTTGGGTTTCCGAGGCGGTATCTCTACTGAAGTACATTGCCCAGTCTTCCTTCTGAGGAGTGGCTGGTGGGTTTGAACCTCCAGCTTTCTGGTTAGCAGTCAAATACCTTAGGCACCATGCCACCAGAGTTTCCAGTGTTACCATTAGGTGCCTGTTAACGTGTGTGCGTCTTAACCATCATTGCCTACTGTTAGGGAGTATCTTCTTCCTCCCTGCTAAAAACATGACCAAACAAAATCCAAAATACAACTAGATATTCCTGAAATCCTAGTCAGTTCAGAATCTTGGAGGAAGTTGCCCTCTCTTCCACATTTTAAAAGCCTCTGTGGTTTTCTCCTTAAGCACTCACTCACCTCACAAAGGAAAGTCTAGTAGTTCGAATCCACCCTGAGGTGCCTCACAAACAAGGCCTGGCAATCTGCTTCTGAAGAATCGCAGCCCCTGGAGACCCCATGGAGCACAGTTCTACTCTGACACGCGTGGGTCGCCGTGAGTCCGACTCCACTCAACTACTTTGGTTTTCATGCTTTTCTCCACTCCACTTCTTCTTAGTCTCTCACACCCAATCTGGCTGCTGGGAGTTCAAGAGTCTTCTCCTTGGCAAAGTCTGGGCAGCAAAAAAGCCTGCCTTTCTTTCTCCTTGTTAATCTATTTTCTGATCAACTGTGAAGAATGTGGGTTGTTTTTTTTCCCCCTTTAACTTTGACTTCTAAAGTCTTTCATTTTTAATTAAGTAGCTCTGCACTTTAACTCAGGATGGCATGAGAAGGTCAGAATTGTCCAAATGTTCTGCCAAAGATAAACTCAACCAGTAAACCGTCTCCCCCTTACTGTCCCCCTCCGCCCCTTGTGGAATGGCTATTAATTTGCCACAGCTTCTCCAGAATTATCACAGGCTCAGCTTCCAACTCCCACACATGCCTCGGGAAGGTTTAACTGTCAGTAAGTTTGGTAACTTAGAAACCTCTTCCTTAACAACTTTGATGAGGGAAGTCATGTGTTCTCACCAGCTCTCCGCTGGCTTATTTTTAACAGTAAAACTTGCCTATGTGCATGCACTTTCTATACCTTTTGGTGCTATATAATTATCCTTGTTCAGGGGGTGTCACAGTCAAGACACCCTGGTCATAAGATAACATGACTGTGAGCTATCTCAGAGAAAAACCTCAATTATGACTAATTCCTATAAGCCCACTCATGGTTATTTAAAGACTAACACCTCCTTCAGGTAAAACCGTTACATCGAACCTGCTTTCATAACCTGCTGCCTCCTCCCAAGTGCAGGGACCATCTGTTACCTGGAGGGAACACCAGTTCTCCCCAGCATCCATCACATGGCTAGGGGAAGGGGGGGAGACAGGTGTCTGGGGATCTAGGCCAACTGTGCCTTTACATTCACATCTTGGGCCCCGAGCTCTGCCCATCTCCCTCTGCCCAGGAAGGCCTCTTCACGCCCATCATGATCTCTGTTCTGCCCTTCACCACCCGAAGGCCTGGCAGACTCTCAACCACCGCAAAGTGATTTGATGAGATCTAGGCAGCACAATCCATCAAGCTGCAGGGTAAACAGACAAGTGGCCTGTTTACTTAAACACAATAGCTGCACCCTAGAGGCCTGCTAGGAGTCAGGAAACAAATATTGATAACCCTTTCCAAGATATTGCCAACAAAGCAGCTGCCTACTCTTCAAGATTAATGGACAGATCAACAGGCATAAGGCAAAATTTTATGGGAGAAGCTAAAACAATATCCTAGCTTTCCAAGGGTGCCCACTCTCCACTCTAAGACCAGACCACCCTACTTAATTGGCAACCCAACTCTAAAGCTACAGTAAATGCAGTAAAACATAACTACCTACATACCATCTGCTGGTATTTACCAAGGATGCATATATTGAATTAGTCTTTTAAAAAATGTTTATCAGTTAATACTATCCGTGGCCAACATCCCACCCCCCTTGAGAAGCTCTCAGGAGGAAAACGCTTAGAAAACCAACAGGAGATGGGAGTTGGCCTGGGAGTGGGTAAACTTTGGTAGCATTCCCAGTCCTACCCTGGACTAATGATTAGAATACATTGTGCGCTGCAGAGTGCCACGTTTTAAAGGAGTGGAGAAATTGGACCACGAGCCACCAAGCGATCAAAGGTTTGGATAGGGAACGGGGAAGATTCCAGCGGCACAGGAGTGGAGGGGGAGGGGCGGAGGTTGCTCAGTTGTTTCCAAGTGCTAGGCAGCACTACAAAGAAACAAGCCTAAACCGCAAAAAGGGTACGTGGGGGAGGGGTAAGAAATCTTGTCTAGACTGTGAGAGTTGACGTAGGTGAAAGAGCGCAGGTCTGGGGGAGGCTCTGATCTGGTGCCTGTCTCCATGTGACTGGGATGTCCTTTTCTCACTCTGGGTCTCAGTGGCCTTGTCTGTACACCAAGGCAGGAGGGGATGGCCCAGCAGTGTCCTAAGCCCATCAGCTTCTGCAGAGCCTGGCAGTTTTCCTATTTCAGTAACGGTGAGCTCTAGCCCCTCGGGAGAAGCGACCTCTCTTAAGGCCTCTCTCCTGTCTCCTGGGGATCTGAGGTGTCCTGCCTGGGCGGCATGTCCAAGAGCTTGGGGAGCAGCTTCCCCTGGCCCCCTCCAGACCCGGTGGGAGACCAGGGGCATTCCCGGGGTCCGGCGGTCGCTGTGCTCACCTCGCGCACTCCTCCATCCGCTGCCTTCACCTGGCTCCTGGAGTGCACTGCTGGTAAACAGCCCAGTCTCCGGGGCAACCGCCACCGGGTGGGGGGCCACGTGCTTCCGGTCTGACCGGAATGGCCTGGCCTGGCCTGGGTGGAGTGGGGTGGGGTGGGGTGGGGTAGGGTGGAGGGGGACTGGGGCGGGGAGCTGAGTCCAAGAGCCTACAGTGAGGCAGTGCCATCACCGCTGGGAGCGGTTCCACACCCACACCATGAGGGGCTGCAA